AAATTATGCTATCTTCTCATTCCTATCGTTTAAACATCGGCCTCTTTTATCCCAGTCTCTTTCAAGTTTCAACCAATCTAACCCCCCTCCCTCCCTCCGTCTTTACTATGGATGCTATTGAAAGGACCAGCCTCCGTACATCTGATATAATAATAAATGAAGCATCAGAAGATCAGTCCCGGCGACGATCCATTTATAACCATTGGAGAGTTGAGAGAAGCCTCTCTTTTCGCATTCGCCGCGACTGCAGCTACCGCGCTTGCTTCGACTCTTTCACTTCCAATATCTTCCACTATTCTATCCCTGCCTTCTGCTCTTTCTTTTGGCTTTCTCATCTTCTCTCCCTTGAGTGGCAAATGAGTCTTTGGTGGTGACTCCCTCGCTGTGAGTCCAACGTTGGATTGACTCTGCATTGAAGACATTTCTCTTGGATCCACCCCTTCTTTGGCTAGCTTCGCCCTCAGGTCTCTGCCCCTGAAGTTGACCCCATCAAGCATATCAACTATCGCTTTGGCCATAGTGTATGTCTTAAAGATGAGAAACGCATGGGATTTTTGTTTACCACAAGGATGCTTCTCAATTCTCATGCTCTGTAGAGCAAGGAGAGGGTTTTCATCAGATGAATTATCCAGAGATCTCGCTTTTATGCAGTCCTGAATGAAGCTTTGTAGGTCTGTAGTGGTTGTGTTGTTGGGAATTCGTGTAATAATGACTTTACTTTTCAAGACGACGAATTGCTCGGCGAATGGGGGGTTGTATGCTGAACTGGACATGGGCTGCGAGAGTGCACCGAAGAAAGGAGAGGTTGTGATGTATGTTTGAGGAGGTGAAGCAAAGACAGATACGTCTGATGCTATAACGGCAGAAAACTCAGATGGTATCGGCGTATTATAGGGTATCTCAATGTTCTGAGTCTGTTGAAACTTGGCTTGTTAGCTTTTCATAATATCAAGGGGCGATGGAGAAAACCTCTTGTACCTTGGTAACGCCTCTATCGTTGTTGAAAGTCGCCGATATCGAGGTAGTAATAGATGCTTCACGGGTCGTAGGTTGAATGTCTCTTGTGAACACACCTTCGCTGTAATATCGCGACGTCCACGGCATCGCGAGATCCCGCACTTCAATGGATTCTGTCTCATTGCGGCCATCTGCACATAAAGCGCGATTTTCCATCATTCCACCTTGTAGATGTTCTGTAACTCTGTTAGCATGATCCCTTCTTCGTAATAAGAGAACCCACGGAGTGCTTGGAGAAAATCTTCCTTTCCTCTGACTGTCACCCATCCACAAGTCGACTCTGGATACACCTGCACATGTTCAACGGCAAGGCAATTTCCCTTATAGTCTTGGTTTTGTGCAAAGTCTTTGAGACGTTGCCATGTACATGACCATGGAAGGTTGCTAACAAGAATATAATACAATCCAGTGACATCACTAGACAAAACTTGAGGCATGAGGTTTGAATTCGATAAAATAGATAGTGTTTACACAGGATGAATGGACATCAATAAAGATTTATCTTGAAGGAGATAACCGTAGGCTGCAGTCCTTTTACGAAGCCTCAACTCCAAGGATGCACGTTTGATGGACCTTACAATCAAAGCCTCAATTTTTCATAACCAAGCACGAGATTTCAGGCATTCAATACAGAAGGTCAAATCCGAACGAACATGAGATCAGACCAAAGATTGAGGTGCCCAAGAAGGCAATTTGGGATACAGACGATTGAAAGTCAATCAAATGGTGGAAACCATACTATAGCATTTTGGTTACAAAAAGCAAACGGTATCCTGCAGAGCTGAGATAGATTACTCTTCATGTGCAAATGCTTACCACCATTTAACTGCTCAAAGCAGTACCTTTTATCAGAGCAATAGTCCAGAAAAGAGGGAAAATAAAATATCTTGAAAGCCGTAGAAATGGTTTGTGCAATATAGGGCTCATTGACATTGGTATTGGCATTGGTTGTGAACAAAAGAAAAGCTGTGACTTCACGATTTGAGTCAGATACTCCACAATCTATCATGCACAAAGAATATACGACGAATGAGAGGTTTTTATACACGTATGCGATATGCAATACAATATTATAATACATAAAATACAAGGACAAGAGTGTAATGAAGAAACAGACACCAATCAAAAACAATCCACTCCTGTGTCCACGCCACAAATTGTACTTCCCTGGTTGTCGAAAAATATGGAATCGTTATGGTGGAACTAGAACTGCCAGTGGTCGAGTGCGAAGGCGAGCTAGGGCTGTCAGTGGTGGAAGAAGATGTTGGTATAGGCAACAACCAGGATTCAAATTACTCTAACTCTTGCCAACCAGGGTTGAGTTATTCAATAACTTTAATCTATATCAACCAGGTTGGCGAAACAAATTTATCTCATTGTCTTAAACAAGTTTTCTCCTCATTCCACTCTTGCTTATGCCAACCAGGGTTGAGTTATTCAATAACTTTAATCTATATCAACAGGTCGAAAATGCATGGCCGCCAATGCTTCCAGCCGGTCTGAGGAACCTGACGAGTGTGGGAAGCCGGAGCTGAGGATGGAATTTCTACGCTAAAAAACAACATTTTAAAATGTTGTTTTTAGCGTAGAAATTCGGTGCTAAACTTCTTTGAATAGCAATCCTCCTTCACAAATCAGAAGTGGTAGTTATCAGCTCTTCAAGATGGAAATGGTAACGGAACAGGGGCGCTTTCGGATCAGGGGGGTTAATGCGATATTAAGTATACGAAGCTTGTGGAACAATGCAATCAGTATAAGTATTTTGCATAATTATAACGAAGAGTAATGCAAATACGCTTCCCAGACCTCATTTCACCTTCCGTATTCTATTCAGTATGTTCGATAACATTATTTACTTCCTAGTTCTTGGAGATCGAGGTATCGGAAAGTCTCAATTGGTCCGTCGAATGATCGAAGATCTTCCCATTGTAAGTTTGTTATTCGGCTTCTCCTCCAATTCTCGATGTGCTGTATCTGACTATGTGATTTGGTCTAGTTTCATTTTTTTGAAGATAATCACTCTATATCTAAAAAATATCCTATGATATTGAAAAAGGATGGTATATTAAAGTACAAGTTTATACTACAAGAATGCTCCACCTTGAGGGAATTAAACACAATCATAACTGAAAATCATCATCTTCCACGATATTTCGTTTTCATGTTCTACTGTAGCTTAGAAACAAGTTTTGAAAGTTATGAAGCCTTCTACAGAATGATTCAAAGGCAACAAACCCAGTACAACTGTCTTTGGATTGTTAATACGGATCACTCGTTTGGAGGAACTTCTGAATGGAGGGAGAGGATTGCACGACTAGTCAACGAACCAGAACCTCGATTTTTGCTCACTTCACTGAACAAGCCAGGCCTGGATATTCGAAGTATTATCAACTCCTTTTTTCTGGATATCTCGGAAAACTTCCAGTTTAGGATTGAGAAGGACTTTCTCGGCGATCGGGTCTCTCCCGGTACAACACCAAGTACGACGCTAGGGGAGGGATACGGAGTGGAGGGGAAGTCGACCAATAGGGAAGGTTCGAGTACATTGTACGAAATGAGCAAATCAAACGAAACAAGTGGTTGGTACTCGGACGATGAAGAGCAAGCATGTGCAGAATGGAGAGCCTGTTGGAGCACCAATGTTCAGTGGCTTCGACGCCTCTGTTTCGGTTGTATTGGCAGGAGATGAAGATCATGTTGCATATTTCTTTTCTTTTTGACGTTGTTGCCTTCTCTCCATCTTCTTGTTAATTGATAATTGGGTATGGATTCGGTAGTGACAGTACCAGCGGAGACAGAAAATAAATTATGGTTTCCTGTATTCAATATCATAATGGTATATTTTTCTTTGCTGTTGAATAAGCATATCTTGGTCTGTACTAAGTTTGTATATCCCGTAAATATTATACTGTGAAATCTAAAATGATACAAATTGTTATCAAATTATAGCTGCAGTATAGATGTAGTTGGTATCTTGTATATACCGAAGGTAGTGATGAAAAGATTCGTCGAGGACTATTCCGTTAGAGAAGAACAAGGAATTGCAGATTCCGAGGCTGAGCTGGCAGATCCTAAAGTGCGTGATGTATAGGTCGCCAATTATGGAAATTCATGGCGAGGATGTTGGAAAAGGGGCAGGGTATGAAAAAGCAGAATTTGCAAGGGGCTGCAATATTCCGAGACGCTCTATTGGATGGAAGCCTAGGCTGAAAGTAGTCACCGAAGACAATAGGATGCAGTCATCGAAAGAGTATATCACAAACCCAGCCTCATTCATAGTGTCCGCAAAATGGTTCACTATTGTTAGGCAAAGAAGACCTTCCTCTCTATATTGGTTTGCTGTTCTTCCTCAACCTTTCCCGTGAAAGATATCTCCCAAAGATACCATTCTGCAACTCATCTCTACGCCAATATACACAAACACAAGCCAGATCTAGGTGACCGTTGGACTCAGTATTAGCACCGGAACAACAAAACCAGAACTGAAATGTGGAACTGTACCCTATGTCCAGAGTGCACCGTCTATCCTTCGACAGAAGAGCTTTGGAAACACACTGAAGTGAGACATCGCGACAAAATCCTAGCATACCCGGGCGAGCTTCAGCAGTTTCGAGAAACGCTCGAGGAAGATTCAGTAGTAAAGAGGTCAGTTCACCTAATTCAGGCTACTTGTTGAAGAGGCTGTAACTTTGAAGCAAAAAAGAAGACGACCAAGGCTGACAATATTTGAAATGCATACAAAGACCTTCCAAAGATGAATCCTTCCCCAGAAAACATGCTCAGATTGATGGAGCGACGGAGGCCGAACGATCTGTATCCAAACAGCCGCTCAACGCTCCCCAACCTAGTCGATCGCTTTCCGGCCTTCAAGCATTAAGCCTGAGACCAAATGAGGATATTACTATGGAGGATGAAGAAATTACAACAGACCAACCGCGCAAGAGAGCTGCTGTAGGAGATGGTATATCAGCAGGTTCAGCATCGCCATTCCGCGAAGCCTCGGATTCTCCCCCGCCACGAAGATCTTTAGCTCGACCAACCTCTGGACCAACTTCCACATCAGATACGGAAACTCGGCGACAGGCTACAAAGGGACAACTGTGGACCCCTGATCAAGACTCGCCATTCACAAGATCATCCTTTGATCCCTCCAACATTACTTCTATACAAACCTCAAAGTCTCGAGCTCAAGGCTTCAAACCAGCCAATCGAAGACCTACAAAGACATCTCCACCTCAAACCACACCCCGGTCAGCACCTCAAACAATTCAGCAGCACCACCACCACCATCATCATGCTCCGGCCAATGCCCCATCTGCAATCTTGTCCAACAGGACAACCTCGGAAACTGAATCAAGATCCCAAAATGTACCTTATAGTATTATTCTTCAGTTAGAGGCAAGACCTATCTCTCAAGAAGAACTTGTAGCAGAGGTCAAAGGTATATATGCCAGTCTTGTGATAGTTGAAGCTAAGTGTATCGAAGTTGATAATAAGCAAGCTACACTTGCGCAGAGCAATCCTTCTACACAACCGAAACTCAACAATGAGCAATAGCAAGCTCTTATCGCTTTACATCGTACCCTACTCCACAAGCATCACGACTTCTTCCTAGCTTCTCAGTCTCCATCTGCTAGTCCTGCTCTACGTCGTTTGGCATCCAAATATGCCATGCCCGCTAGGATGTGGCGACACGGTATTCATTCCTTCCTGGAACTTCTCAGACACCGACTACCAGCTTCACTTGATCATATGCTTGCCTTTATATACTTGGCATATTCGATGATGGCTTTGTTGTACGAGACCGTACCAGCCTTCGAAGATACATAGATTGAATGCTTGGGAGATCTAGGACGATACAGGATGGCCATTGAGGATGACGACATCAAAGATAAAGATGTCTGGACTGGTGTAGCACGACATTGGTATTCAAAAGCTTCAGATAAAGCTCCTACAACTGGTAGATTGTATCATCACCTTGCAATTTTGGTACAACCAAATGCTCTTCAGCAATTGTATTACTACACAAAGTCGTTGTGTGTTCTAGTACCTTTCACGTCTGCACGAGAATCGATACTTACACTCTTCGATCCTGTCCTCAATGCTGAGAATGGGCAAGGTCAGTATCGATTGCCATCTTTGGATACTGCATTTATCCGAGCTCACGGGCATTTGTTCACGAACAGAAACATGGAAAGGTTTGAACCTGCAGTAAAGGAGTTCCTCGGATTACTTGACACCCAAATCGGCCGAGTAACCAAGAAATTCATAGAGCAAGGCTGCTATATCGCCGTATCTAACAACGTTGCGATGCTTGGATTTGCGTCTAAAGAAAATCCACTCATAAAAGCTATTGAGTCTTCTTCGGGAGACGAGACAGCCGACGTTGATATGGATTCTGTTCAGGACGACATTTCTCCCTCCATGATAACATTCAAATACGCACAGAATCTCAGTAATTCTGCATTGGAGATTGTATTGCAGAGAATAGGGGACCCAAATGTTCTCCCCTTCATTCACGTCTCTCTTGTTTTCATGTTTCGCATGTCTCAGTTTTCAGGTGCAATGGATATCTTGGTACCGACGTTTCCTTGGCAATCTCTGGCTATCATGCTTAATACGTTACTTAAGTCCTACAAGACCTTTAGCTGCATTGAGGATAAGAAATTCCCATTGCCAGAGAAAGATGACGTCCGCCCCTTTCCTGAAGATTTTGGAATGCGCGGTTTACTATGGGCAGAGAAATACTTCCCTGCAAGATGGTTCCTCAACGAGAAGAGTGATGAAGAAGAGAAATATCACGAGCTTCCATCTATGCTCGATCAACGCAAAGAACGCATATTATGGCTAGCTTGTCGTGTTGCAGATGCCGGTCCATGGATTAACTTCGATAGTTCCAAGCCAGAGTTTTCTGTTCAGAGTAATGATACAGATGTGGAGTCCTTGACCTTCGCTCCAGCGACTACTGATGACACCGTTACAAGAGCAGAAACTTATCCTAATGCTGAAGAGGACATGTCATCGGTCACAATGACTGCAGCAGATACACCTCTTCATGAATGAGCAATCAAACCACCTTCGTTGCTGGAGAATACAATGAAACTTTGAAGATTCTACAATGATGGGAAGACTCGATTCAAGAATGACTAAGAAACTTGATCAAATTGATGGTATGTACTACAGTAAACTCAATAATAGCATTGAGCCTAACAGAATGTGCAGAATTCATTGCAACAAGTCGTTCAACACGCCTTGTAGAACTTGGGAAGATTTTCAGTGCCTGGAAAGTGATCTTTGCGGATACTTTTTATGTCTTTTTATGAACGATGGTGGCGGTACTATACAAATGTTTAGACAGCCAAATTATAACATGTGGTATTTCCTTCGGTGGCAGGATGGAAAATTCGTTTTCATCCATGGTCCCAACTTTTAAGCATGTTGGCATGATCAAATTGAGTCTCATACAAGCATGGGTTATCAATCATAGTTTAATATAGGAAATTCGGAGTTATATTGACTTGATCATACGAACTTGAACAATGATACTGAACACTCTTATGTGATTTTGGCTTTTTTGTATAAATAAAACTTTGTATTCAAAAAAGCTCATTGAATGTAAGTTACAAAAAAATAGGGATTAAACTAGATAACCCAATCTTTAAACCTGTTACTATCAATAAACAATTGTTAATCATTATAGATTACTCCGTGGTGCGCCCCGACTGCCTGTCATATCTCTAATGATCCTACTGTACTCCGTAATAAAACAATCCATAGTACAAAACATAAAATAATTAGAGATAAGCCCTAGATCCTGACGACGTTATTTCGTGTGATGACCTAAACTTAGGTATGTCTCTCATGTAAGATCTTGAGTTTAATTCGGCTTTTATTCGAGAGTTTCGTCTGGAGCTTGAATGGATACTTTCATTCCCAAATTTCCTGAGTTTTGTACCCCTTTCCAACCCTTCTTCGTCACTATACTGAAGGTCGAATATGCGCCGAAAGCTCCGCCCGCGGTCCAGAGCAGGATTTGTGCGTTTGGTAACTCCGGCATATTGTGAGGTGATAGATGGTGGAGGTGAGCTCACAGGTCGAGGTGAGGTGGTGGCAAGTCGAGGTGAGGTGGTGGCAAGTCGAGGTGAGGTGGTGGCAGGTAAGGGTGAGGTGGCAGCAGTTAAGGATGAGGTGGCGGCAGGTAAGGATGAAGTTGCTTGCTGTGTGGTGGAAGGCGGGGGAATATATTGTATAACCGGGGTAAGACCTGTCGCTATAACTTCGTTGTGTGTTCTGTAATCGCCAGGACCTGTCGTAACAACATTCTAAGTAAATCGTTAGTGTGCATGCTTCATTTCGTACTAGATAAAACAGGGAATATCGCACATCAACAGTGGAGAGTATAGGCAGAGAAGAAGACTCTTCAGAACTGTAAATACTTGTCTGCCCATCACTTTGAACTATCACCCAGACTCTAGTGCCTGGGCATAACACAGCCAACTCATCGCCTTTCTTCATGACAGTTTGAGTTCGATCATGACATGCCCTTCTTCGTCGACATTCATCACCAACAATTGGTGTAAGCTTCCTGGTATATTTGGTCATCCTGGATGTATGAAATTTTGATATGATGATCTGAGAGAAATGAAGCTGCAAAACTGACATCGAAAGTTGAAAACTTGACTTTCAGTAAATCGGAAAACCGTTCGACTTTTTAAAAGATTATTGAATGTTGGTGATATTAAACAAAAATAGTTCTTGAAGCCGCGCGCGTAGATGCGGGCGTTGATACGGGCGTTGATACGGGCGCTTATACAGCCTGTCATTCGTTCTTGAAAGCGAAAGCGAACATCAGATTACGGGATTTGGTTGAATACGCATTATGAATATATGGGCTACTACATCTATGCTTCCAGGTTCTCAATAGCAAGTCCTTTTTTTTTCAAAAACAATATGCATTTCATTTTCCTAAAACTTATTCAAACCATCATCTAAATCATTATCTAACTATTATCACAATATCCTTTTGTGGAGTTATGAACTTGACACAGTGGTACGCAATCTCTTTAGCAGCAATTGCCGTCCTCCTGATCCTTTATCGAATTGGCTCTATTGGTTCTGCCTTTCTTATAGCATGGTTCCGGGTGCTAGTATTGAGGTATCTGGTTTATCCATTATTTTTTCAGCGGAGATATTGGACTGGTGTTACAAGATTGCAAAGCTTTCTTGTAGGGGGATATCTAGGTATCAACGGCTTTTGTATGGGTCTTGGGATAAAGACCATGTCCGATGTTATTTCTCGAGCGGGAATTATGGCCTCGGTAAACCTTATACCGTTGTTCTTGGGTGGGTGGACTAATGCGTTGGCCAATTTCATTGGTATTTCTATTCATTCTTATTATATAGCACATCACTGGATTGGTCGGGTGGTGATTGTTCAAAGCCTTTTGCATGTCGCATTGGTTTTAGCTGCTGGCCAGCTATGGACCTTTAACTCATCTCAAATATCTGGAATTTCTGTAAGTAAGATAAAGTCATACTTGGTTCACTGCTAATATAGATATAGGCTGTATCAGCATTGTCGCTCTTACTCGTTACGTCACTATTCTTTTTGTGGAGATTGATGTTTGAGGTATTCATCAAAATTCATTTTTTGTTAGCGTTCATCGTGATTATTGCCCTATTGGAGCATGTATCACACCTTGGTTTGACTCGAAGCGTATTCCCGATAATTGCAATATCCTTGTGGTCCTTCAATGCTATAATGCGGTGGGGAAAGATAATTTACTACAACCTTGGTGGTGTTGGTCATTCCTTGACACCACAAGCCGACATTTTCCATTTCTATGATGGCTCGAAAACGAGGACCGTCAATGCAATAAGATTGACAGTCCTACTTAGACGGCCTATGAAAATCAACCCAGGTCAATATATGTATCTGTTCCTCTCGGATATGGGTGTACGCCGACAGTTCCAAGCGCACCCATTCGTGATTGCATGATGGGACGATTCCTTGAAAGCTACCAAGGTTTCTTTCTTGATCGAGCCCAGCAATGGCATAACCTCAAAACTCATTGGACGGGGCTCGCTCTGTAGTGTTGTGATGGACGGGCCTTATGGGAAGGATTTGCGATTAGAAGACTTTGAAACAGTCATTCTAGTCGCAAAGGGAATTGGAATTGCTGGTATCATTCCTTATGTTAGAAGTCTGACATATCGTAAAGTGAATAAGGATAAAAATTACGATTCTTATGGACGAGGTCTTATCACACGAAAAATCGATCTGTATTGGGTCCTTGATGATAATTGTCAGGAAGATTGGATTTCGGATTGGCTTGTGGATCTGCAGATGCGAGATTCAGAGAAGGTTGTCACTGCAATATACCTAATTTCTGTACGGGGAAGTGCTGACATACTCTTACAGCTTATTTTGAACTGTACTTGTTTCTATCTACGAAAAATGACAAAACCCCCTTCAATTGTGGGAGATCCTCATTAGAGGTTTGTATATCAACAACAGGCAATACTAATAATCGAAGGATTCATAATTAAGCAGGTACAAAGATCTGCAGGAAAATCTAAAGTCGCTGGTAGGACCTAACAATCCACTCCCTTTTATTCAAGAATAAAACTGAATTTAGTATAGTTTGTGGAACATCTGGATTTATTTATATCCTCTGCAATATTGTTATCCAAACCTTGAAGAAGTATAAAGATATCGAATTCGCAGAGGTTGAATATCAACCACACAGAATACATCATATCTATTCTAGGGTCACTTCCAAAAACTGGGATCAGATAGAGATGGAGACTACAAATTTGACTTCTCAATTAATTGCCAGAGGACGACACTTGCAGCGATCGCAGCTTGGGGATACGGAAAGAAAGCTGGAGAGCAATAAAGACAGGCTGGTGGAATGGAGGCCCGATGATGTTCAAGATTGGGATAAAATAAATGTGTGAGAAGTTGTTTAAATCTCAAGTCAAAATTGTTTGATTTCAATATTAAAAACTAGAATTTCATATGTTTGGAAATACTATTAGTATAAAATATATCAATGAATATTATAGTATGAGATGTAGAGTTTGCACTAGAACTCCACATCTCTATAAAATGCTGTTCAATTAACCAATAATAAATTGTTTAGAAATACCAATGGTTTTTTTGTTTATAATTTCATTGGTCCAATTTGAAGTATGTGCTACGGGACTTTTACCCAACACAGGGATTCCGAACTTAGCTCATCCCTAAATTTACAGTCGTTTTTTTACTTTACACATCTTTATGAAAGAACAAAAAGCAAAATGGTATACCTGGCAGAAAACCTAGAGAGGTATTAACTTTTGTATCTAATGACTACTGTAATTTACTGTAATCCATACATTGTAATCCTTATACCGTAATCCATTCACTATATACCGTCTTTAGATATTTTGATATATAACAAGATATATAATCCCAAGATCAGTAGCGCAACAAAAACCTAAATACTATAAGATAAAGATAAACACTCCTCAATCTCACAAAAACCTCAATTCCGTCAGAAACCCCAATTATACGTGAGTACAAGTCTTTTATCATTTGGGTATTCATTTAACAAATTATTAGAAACATGTGTCTCTTTCCATTCTTCTCTTTCAAAAAGGCAAATAATATCATATATAATGATGATTTACCAGTATACCGCCGTATCGATGAAGAACCAATCCAACCTACCTCTCGATCCTACAAATACACCTTCAACATCCCATCAGCTGGAACCATGACAATCAATGCAAGAAACGATGGAATCTTAAATTTTCACCACATTCCTACGATTACATCTGATGCCTCAGATGGGGTCTCACATGGAGGTATTGTAGGAGATTTGAATGATGAGAAGACTTCTGTTGGTATGAGTGCTAAGGCAAGGCAAGATGAGCTGGACCAAAAAAAGTTGAGAATTCAGGAAGCAAAGGCTAGCTTACAAGAGTCAATGGACCGTCTGAATCAGGAATTAACCTTTGTGAAGGATTATGATTCAGTGATTTTGTTAAAGGATGAAGAGGATTTGATTGTTGGTATGAGTGCTAAGGCAAGGCAAGATGAGCTGGACCAAACAAAGTTGAGAATTCAGGAAGCAAATGCTAGCTTTCAAGAGACAATGGACCGTCTGAATCAGGAATTAACCTTTGTGAAGGATTATGATCCAGTGATTTTGTTAAAGGATGAAGAGGATTTGATTGGGGATCGGTTGTTTTACACGAACAATGATTGCAAGGACTTGGTAAAAATTTAAGATGCTTAGCCTTCATAGTATCAGAGTGCTTTAAATGAGTATAGCTCAATAGAATAGGATCAATCATTACTCTTCTTTTCAATTTTTCTTCTTGTAATATCGCTTGCGTTTAATCTTTTCACGAAAAAAAAAGGTTTAAAAAAAACGAGATCACATGCTATAATTGGATATGGATAGTTCATATCTTATTTGAAACGATTCGGAATCTCCCTTAATGATAATTGTAGATGTGAGGGAAAGAAATCTCTGTATCATCAAGATGGATTTCTTTTGTAAGAGCTTCGTGCTCAAGATCAATCATTTAGTATGGAGGTCGCGGTCATTTTAGTCGAGATTATAGGCCTGTATAGGGTGCACACACTGAACTGGGCCCTGTAAAGTCTATGTGTGTCAAATTCAAGGCGAGCCTATAAGCTTCAGGTCTTCTAAATTCGGGTGAAACCGACGCTAATTAGGTATTAAATCCAGGGCTTATTAGCTACTTTAGGTATTAATCTATAGTGTTGATTCAAATTTGAATAAATTCGGATAAACTTCACCCTGTTATAGGGCCTTTCAGCGTATGCACCCTACAAAGGCCTATAATCTCGACTAAAATGACCGCGACCTCTGTATACTCTACTATTAGTTACGAATTGTAATCATTGTTATTAAGGTTAATTGAATAGTCCCTGCTTGACGCCTAGTTACGTATACGACCCACCTCGAGAGCCTAGATCACTTCCACTTGATCTAAAAGGCACACTTTGTACCTTATATCAGCCACTGTATTATTAACAGATACTACTCTCATCATTGCTCCCAACTGTCGTCCGCTCTCTGTTCTGCTATACATCATTATCTGGAAAATTTGAAGACTAAATAGGGGCTACTCGTCTTCCATTGAGTTAGAAACACAAAGTAGGAAGATCAAAGTTCATCAGTTTAATTTAGCATTGGAACGATTGAAGTTATGAACGGACGAGGATGCTTTATTGTAATTCTATACTATGAAACGATGCTACGATTTACACTAATGAACCCCCAAATAAATCAAAAATAAACATATTGCTGCAACTCCTCATTATAGTAACCAATAATTTCTGCCGGACTTTCTTCCGTGTACCTGGATTGATCTTCTCTGACATGATACTTCATATGTGCATCAAAGCCCTTGAAAGTTTTGAACGGACAGATATGACGAGACAGGTTGCAGTTGGATCTTGGGCAGAATAGCTTACCCGGATTATGAGTTTTCATATGTGCCTTCAAAGTCTGCTTTGAAGCAAGCGGCTTAGTATGACGTAGACAGTCAGTAAATAGGCATAATAGAGAACTTGCATCGAAACCCTTGTCCACCTCTAGTGAGGAATTTCCCCGTTCCTTGAATGGAGAACTTTCGGTTGTGTCGTCTGAAGAGTCTTCAAGATCAGTGTCGTATGAAAAATCCAGTGATGGCAAGTCCACAGTTATGTTCGACGCAGGAGCTTTGTTTGTATTGGACTCCTGACATACGCTCTGGTTATGACGAAAAAGCTCCCATTGACACCGGAAGGGGATAGAGTAACGTCTGCAACTCGAATTCTGACAGCGGTAATTCGCTACATCTTTCCCCATGCTCTGGCACAACTTTTGTAGGCTTCTGACCAAGTCTGACCGGGGCGGTAAGTCATCTTCCCCTTCCCATAAAGCATACTGACTATGCCTTGCCTCAAAGGTGGCATAAACCGTGTTCCCATTATCTGTTCGAGAGGTGTCTCCAAGGCATGTTTGTTGACTACATCCCTTCGTATGCTGCGTAATTTTTTGATTTCGCTACTTATCTTCAGAGCACATCCTTCTGTTCTCGCATCTTCGATCCGCTTCGTCGCCGCAAGTAATTTTGGGTCCTTGGCGATGGCTTCCACAAACTCCTTTGTTATAAGACCTAATGGTGAACCGCGATTTGCATTTAGACTGCGAGCAAAGTTGATCTGTTGTGTACGTTGTTCTTGCCCACGGGTTAGACTTTGCAAATCAATATCAGAATGAGAAGCAAGATAGCTTTTCTGAAAGATTTTATCATTGGAATGTCCGAGTATTTTGCCTCTTTCTGCAGCGGTAATATGCTCTAAACAAGTAAGAATATGAACAATAAAAGGAGAAAACAGGGGGAAAACTTACGATTTAGAATGTTAGCTGAAGTACGTCTTATCACATAAGATGTGAAGATATCCTTGAAGCCGGTCTGTTGTGCGAGGCTCCTCATTGAGTTGCTGAAAGCTTGGTAAGTCAATGCCTCGACTTTCTCGGACGATTTCATCGTTCGATTATTCCGGAACAAAGGTGTGTCCAAAATACTTTCTTTAAAAGAAATATCGATGTACTTTGCAGTACATATCTTAGGATCATACAACTCCTCGATATTTTTCACATTTGCAAAAGCATCATCAGCAAAAGCTAAAGCAAGGAACAATGTGACCGGACACATTTCCCTGGATGTGAGATCTTCAAATATCTGTTGCTTGTAACTAGTATGTATGTCAGAGGATGTATTTCAAATGGAAGGCATATTACTTACACCTCTCCATCATCACCCCGCTCATTTTTTCTGAGGTTGAACATGAGCAGGAGGCTCATGAGGGGGCGACCACCATCCGGATTTTGGAGCAAAGTGAATTTGATGTCCTTCGGAAAAAGTCAGCTACGAAAGTTTCAAAAGAATCCAAACTTTATTGTACCTTATACGACATAGCTTGCCCAGTCATGTAATATGCATGTGATTCAATGATGGCACCGGGGCGTGCGGCAGTATAGACAAGTATCAAGATCAACAAAGCAATCTGAATCCTAGCTCGTTTATATACAAAATTGACCGGATCGTTCATCCATAGATAGCTAAGTATATCTTGTAGATCGTTGAGACTGGCGATAGGCTTTGGACGGGTTTTCGTACTCAGACCAAGACTCTTTGCAAGAGTTGTTTTTATAAACTAACAAATGTCAACAAAACATTGATAAGAAAATTAGTATTAAATAGACTTACATTGCGAAGCTCATCCATCGATTCTAGATCTTCATTATGCTTTCGCTCATACACAGATTTAAATCGGATTGCATACTGAATCAATGTCTTGACAGAAAGACGGTCACCGAGCAAGCCAGTACGCTCCCTTGCAAGCATAGTAAAAAATCCTTTGATAACCCTCAAAATTGGTTTCGAGCTAATATCACCAAGTCGTGTAATATAGCTTGATGAAGAAGTGTTAGCACGCTAATATTGAAGAAGCTCAACATCATAACTCACTTCTCCCATAACTTCCAAATCATATTATAACCACGTAACGTTGGAGCGACATTAGATAACGGTTCCTTTGTGTAATTCTCATTTTCAAGGCCTGCAAGCAGTTCTTCAAGTCTCAGACTTTGTGCCATTTTCGAGATGAATGTTGAGGTGTAAAAGAAGGGAAGTTGATTGAGAATATCAATTCGATGTTGAAATATGATGATAGAATGATGATAGACATTGTAAAAAAGAAAAAGAGAGAAAACATATTATATACTTACAGTAATCAGAGTACAGTATACCAAATTCCAATATGGTTTTTGCTGAAGTTGGTCAATTAGTTGTGGGTACGAATGCCCGTTCCCTGTTCTGAGGATTTCGAAAAGGGTTACCGAATTCCCACCCCGGCATAAACTGTGTCGCAAAAAGTTAACCACAACAGTATATAGTCTTCGGGACCGAGTAAAATGAAATCAGTGAAATACGAAACGATTTACAGAATTCGAACCACCGTTTTTGAGGCGGCGTTGACAAGCAAAAAAGAAATCCCACAAAGCGTGGTCTTTTACCACTAATCCTTGTGCGCAATATTTTGTTTGTAACTCGGGTCTACGATTTTCAGTTTCCCCGAACGTCACTGATTTAAAACGGATTATCGTAAATTGTTCCTGCAAACAGAAACAGGACATTCTCATTTTCGTAATATAGACTCTGATTTACCATCTTTTGTATTTAAGAATCCAAATCCTGAAAACAGAGTTTGATCATTCTCCAGAGTGCGAGTCAGCTTTGATCCACAGTTGGGTACCCTTTACCCACAATCAGATATCCTCTACATCGAGTTGAGGAAATAAGAATTGGTAAACAGACATTTGTACCTATACCTATACCTACCGCCGTCTATTCCCCGGCACGCCGGGGCTATTCGTTCACCTACTGATACCTGGTGGCAACTATAACTCATCCTCCATCCACCCCTCCATCCTCGCCCCCAGGATTTCTTCCGACTCAATAGCAATGTGTGGAGGTTATAACCCTCTAGAAGGCTCGGGCTTGGCCCTTACGGAGAACTTCATTTCTATGGGATTCTTTTCCTTTCGATACGTTACTTCGAGAAGATTCCACAACGTTGTTGTTGATATATATAAGAGAGACCGATCTTGTACATAGAGAACCTCACGCACTTCTTAATTGATTTTCTTGAACCATACCTTTGAGCTATTCGAGGTTTGGCCTCTCACACAATGGATACAAGATTTCAATACTCAGATGAGCTATATACATATGGAGACGTGTAGTCGGTGTCAAGAGCGGTGGTTTATGGATTTAAAGCAGGGCGTGTGCCATACCTACTTCTTAAGAGATAAGGGAAGACAAATCCCATATCTAATATCTGTTGAAAATAACATGGATTCAGAAGAGGTTCCGATCCATTTACCTGATCTAATACAAGTAGAAAAGATGATTATTGCTCGATTTCGTATACGGATATTGATACACCGGTGTCATGTTCACCAATACCGTAATTCCGGCTGTTGTGTCAGTTTCATTCAGGATACTGTGAAAACAATCAATATACACCCTACGCTCCCCGTTGAACCTGATATCTCTTATTACGACCCTCAGAGGGTGTGTTGCAGTCTGACGAGAGGTACCGCAACCAGTTCCGCTCCGATTTTCCAGTCCGTCGGGAACCTGTGATGCAATGGCTGTCTTTCCTCAAGGCCCACCATCCGGACTACTGCTGAATGGAGATCTATACGGCCCGGATTCAGGCCTTACCAGTCGACGGCGATGTCTCGTCATAGTTTCCAACTGTAGTTAATGACCCCCCGCCCAAGGATGAGAGGGAAAACAACCCGATGCCAGACGAGCTTCCGCCTCCAAACACCCAGTCCATGGTACCGAACCTCGGTGTCACTACTACGGAAGTGGATCAAATCCTGGCGGGGATTGCGGGCCGGGATGCTCTCCCTTCTGGCCTCCCCGCGCCCTCCATTCGACAGACACCCATCGATGAAGTGGCCGGAAATGAACGCATCTTCGCCATAGCCTTTCCCACGCTGTACCCGACGGGAGCCGCGGATTTCAATATTCCCCGGGTCCGGTTCAGCTTGGAAGGATTATCAACCCAATATCCTGTTTCTCACAGGAAAGTGCATGGCCGCCAGAGTGAATCCACGGCCATCACACAATCTCATTTCTACAAAGAGAGGTTCTCCGGTGCAAGTCGACTTGCATGACGAGGGAATCTGGAACGGTCATTCGCAGTGCTGCCGACGATCAAGGAATACCGCTGTAATCGGTACATTATGATGTGAAGGGAAGTGTTTGCGATGGTTGCAAATAGGCGTATTCCAGAAGGAGAGCGTAGGATTGACAATCTTAGTCTGCATCTACAGGGAATAATTATTGCTTCTAGACAGACGACACCTGCAGAGGCCTCAAATCCTCGCGACGTTATAGATTCCAGGATACAGCAAGATTACGAGCTAAGACAAAACGCGTTCCATGGAAACCGAAAGAACATAAAACAATACTTAGGATGAAAAGGACGGTTGCACCTAGGAGGAGATACATCATGCCCTTCCACACCGGACACTGGCGGCGATCCAGGTACAATGTTCTACAAAACTCAAGAAATGATCACTATATATTATGTTGCTTTTCCTCAACCGACTTTTGCATGAAGCACTTCTACATTTTTATCTGAAATAACATTCTTTCATCCCCTTCTCCATATGAATATTCCTCAACCTACCAACTACCATCATAACTTTGACTGAAAAAGAATAAGTCATAATAAGATAACCAAACGACTTTCCATCCTTCCCTTTTCTTCCCTTGTTTCTACCCCCTTATTCATCGTCCTCATCCTCATCGTCTAATGGAGGCCAGAAAGCACCTCGAACGTATGTCAACCCTTGATGATTGGCTTGTGGAAGCTTTAGATGCTTGATAAGATGCTTATCCACATTACGTCCAAGGTCTGCAACAATTGTCATAAAAGACAAAGGCATGATTCCAGCATCAAGATGATCGATCAAATAGATTTGTCCATCATGAAACATAACATTGCCATTGTTAAGATCGCTCATAACATAGCATAAGGGTTCGTTAGAAAAATCGATAAGCTTAGCATCAGGTGTAAGTCGCGGGAGAAGCAACTAGTTTCTATTAGTTTTTGAAGATATAAAAAGCGCGTAGTATATTCATCTCACCTCATTGATGTGCTTCGTGAGCTCCTCGACCGATGCGTACGTAACTGGTGCTCGATTCTCTTCAGTGCTGTAAATCTCGAAGATTGGGTGGTTGGAATGACCACCGCCTACTGGACCTGGAGCAGCGTCCTTAGGAACTGGCAGTGACAATAGCAGACCGACTGCACAGGCATAATCCCGCAAACAACTTTCGAAAACCGAAAGATCGTAACCAAAACGTCGACCATACATCCAATAGTACGGACCTGGATACCAATCAAATGACTCATTTATAGTGTTGTACTCTTGGCGCATTAATCAGTCCAGCGTCTGGCCAGGTACAAATTCTATAACAAGTACTTTGAAACCCGTCGTGCGAATGACACGAAAAAGCCGGGGTATTCGAACCCTAGGCGGCTTTGCATTTTCGTCTTTATATATTGTTGCTAACAATTGCTGCTGTTCTTTGAAACTCTTCTGGTAGAAAGCCTCGACTGCATCGAAAATGTATTGTTGATTTCGGGCTTCCATTTCTATACGCTCAAATCCATGAATGTTTGCAAACTTGAACCACAAAATGGGATCGATATCTGGAAAAGAAAAACATGGTTTTCGCCATTTCGATTAGAGAAATTGATTGATGGCTATCAAAACATCTTCATCATGAAGTGAGCGAGCTAGAGTTTCGGCTTTTGCTAATCGATCAGCTCTATTGGCTATAGTAGAAAGAAGTATAGTAGCAGAGAAACCTTGTATTGCGAATTATATGAAAAACGATGACTCTGGTTCTGGTTCTGGTACGACTGGCTCTTACATATACCCATATGAAGAGGTACATAATTCTTGTGTAATTCTTGTGTAATTCTTGTGTTGCGCCTGCATCTTATTAAAATGCAAGAAGCCGAGTGATAACAAAGCAAACAATGGAGGAAGCCGAATAAGTCTCACAAATTAAATTGCAGTCTAGACTATTAACGATGAAACACTGAATTTGATTCGATTCTTCAAAGCCACAAAAAAAGAAGTTCTTCTATACTGTAATACAAGTCACCTGATCGACCATAGCCTATCCTAGCCTGTGACTTCTTTCCACTCAAGCCTCAAAGTCAATTCAATCAGAAACCAATACATCTCACATAACCTAAATTACCTGATTTCCCTTATTCATGTTCTACAGACATGTGACATTATTTCCCTTAGGCCTCATAATACATATCAAATTGCCCTTCTGCGGTCACTACTGACATTTGTCAGCTTGCCTTATCGGGATGCTGGCCTTTTTTGATATCTCGGCGGTTAACAGCGTCGCTACGAGCCCATTCATACTCAAATGGAGACCAAAAGTAGCGATCTCCTTCGGTGTTTGTTGGATAGATCAATTGTCGGTGATAGCATTTGATCAGGACTTGAAGCCTTGTTTGCATATTAGTACAGATACTGAATAGAATAGAATAGAATAGCTTACCAGAAATCTCTTCCACCATGCAAACGTCCATTAGACAAACGGTATCTAAACGTCTGATTACCCTCGCCAAACACATCCCTTGCAGCATTAAACAGATCGTGAATTGTGCCATAGAACTGAAAATTCATTGTATACTGAATGATGCGGGCTGATGAAGTAGCTGGTTTTGAGACACGAACTGTGCATTTTGCTCGTCCGTTGTTGCCCTGAGGGTTCAGCTGAAGAAGTAACCCATCACATGGTTGATCTCCAGATATCGCAGTTGGGGGCGTATAGTCGGCTGGAAACATAAGTTGAAGTCTTGGCCGCTGCTTACGTGTAACATTCGTGATGACAGTAGGCTCAGTTCGAGAACTAAGGATCTGTAGAACCAAAGTAGGATACTGTGTTGTGAGGATCGGAAAGTAGATTGGTGATGTTACTGCGGTCGCGATGGACATCTCAGTGTTCAAATCAGTTATAATGCCGGCGAAATAGGTAGAGAACTATGAAAGATTGATTGTGATTCTAAAGCTGAAGGAAAAAAGAGTATGAATGAGGGAGAAATTGTTCATTTATATAATAATAATGATAAGAAGAGTTTTGCTTTCTACACAGGCCAATTGCGAAACTTTTTGGGATTAAGAGCCGTTTTCCTATGGTATAGTACCGCAACCAGTATATCTCAAAAAACGATATCTCATCATCGCACTGCATTATGCCATCCATTACATCTTCCAGTCTGCCTGCAAGCAAGTCATAATTTACCCCGCCTCCGGCAAGGCCAAATAGGGACATCAAGCAAAATTGATATTGCCTCCATTCTATCACTCACAGATTCCACGATATCACCTAATAAGATGTGGTAGCACAAACAAGTCCCTCCTAAATTGATAAAAGAGCTGAAGACAACGAAGCATAAGTTATAGCTCTGTATTTCCCCTCGAGTCGTGATGTGATTTATGTGGCTTGACAATAGAAGTGGCTGAAATAAGTAATACCTTAATTGTAAGGATTTTGAGGCTCCGATTAAGTAGTATAAGCAACTAATAAATCTACTCCCTCCCAACACACATTGTCATGTCTTGTACCAACACAAACTCCAAATTGATTGCGCATCTTAGTGTATAGGTTGGTGATAGGCCTCGTCAGAACTATAATGTTCGTTATACTTTTCATCATTTATGTAACAATTGCTCTATATTTCAAAAGTAAGATACCTTATTATAATCTGTATAAAAGCAGTCTAGTATTCTCGACAAAACTGTATTAATGGTGATGGAAGTTATAAGCAAAATAATCGCGCCTTCATTTTACCATTCGCAATAGTACTACTACATTATCGAACAATATATGATAGTATAGATAAATACCTTCTAGATTGATTAAAGAGCTAAAGATGATCAAGTACATGTAAGTTGTAGCTTTATACAATGCCTTTGTGAAGATGTTAATCGTAGCGTCCTATATCGTGTTTTATATCGCTTGACAGCAGGAGTGGCTGAAATTTTAGTGTGTGGCATCTGTATAGGGCAGATGTAGGGGTTTTCAGGCTCCGATGGTTTTCGACCTGCAGGCTGTAAAAGATGAATCAAAATTTCACCACACCAAGAAGATGTATAATTAAAGAGTGTGTACCCAACATGAGATTGGTTTGAGCTCAGATTAAAAAAATGATCGTGTTCTAAGACATTCCAGCTTAATTGCACTAGCGGTCTTTTTGGTCACTATTATACGATTGAGTAAATCGCGTGAGCATAACAACTAACTCTGCTAAACTCAGCCTAAACTCAGCCTAACCCCACCAAATCTTTACCTTTATTCACATCTTGACAATATAGTATTCCTTCTCTGCATATCGAATATTCATCCCGACCTCAAGCCAACAATCAAATCGAACAATCTCACTTCCAGCCAGCCAGCCTTCAAAGTTCAAGAAAAGCGCCAAAAATCGACCGCAATCTTCCTTATCTACCCACGCTTTAGAAGGAGTGCATAGGGTGGTGTGCATTCATTGTTACATCTCGGCCACTATTGATAGAACAGAAGATTCTTGAAATTTGGTCTATTACTATGCCTGAGGTGAGGTCGATTTTACCTATATTCCCTATGATTATACCAATTCTAATGAATAAAATATAGGCTGAACAGACCACCGATGGCGATTACGAATTCCTCGACGACTATACTTTTGAAGCGGTTAATTATGAGAGATATATGTCATGGAAGAAAGGAGATGGCCACGTAATTTTGGGTATAAGAAAACTTAAGGCAGATTCAAATGAGGAGAATGTAATTGTTCATCCAGGATGGAGCGTCAAGGTGAAAAATGTGGATTTCAAATTGGTGAAAACTATTACCTATTGATAGATTTCAATCAAAAATAGGAAATACATTTTCATAAAACTCTGACCCCTTTTCAGCACTCAATATTATCTCAACCTTGCAATCACTACCATCTCCTTTGGGGAAGGACACAGTAACAACATTGGCAAAACCTTGTAATCCGTTCCTTTCTTGTTCCTTCTTCCAATCGCTAGTGTTCACAGCATCAAAGAGATATTCATCAAGTACATCCCTCAAGTCCTTTGCCGATTCTTTCGCTTGCGAAATAACTTTCCCGATCGATGGACATATCCAGACCTCTAACTTATAATCCTTCACTTCGGGAGATGGAAGATACAAACGCACAGCATCGGTAAATTTCCAACATCGCGTCTGCTTCTCTAGATCTCTGATATAGGTTGCATCCATACCTTTGAAAAGTTGAACTCCAAGAGGACTCTCTAGCTTGCAGACCTCGGCCATTATTGCTATATTCGTCCCGATGACCTCAGTCTGGTAAGCGCTTCTCGTATTTGACGACTGGGATAGGGATGAATCGAGACCTGAAAATGAATGGATGCGCCTTTGTTTGCTAGGTGAGTCCCGCGCTTCGGTTTGTGACTCTAAACCTCTTTTTTTCCCTCTGCTGCTTCCAAATTCAGCATGTTCACCAGCGGTAGAATCCTGTCCATAACCACTGAGTACCGCTCCATTGGTGATTTGAATTGGTAAGTTTCTGGCAATCGCCAACTGCCGACTCTGTGTAGACCCGGCAATATAATCTACTGGATTCAATAATGCATCTATCGAAATAGGGTTGCTATTGAAGTTGGCAGGATTAGTATTGATGGCAGGTTCGCGACCAGTGGTGGATGGGTGCGGGTTGGGTAGTGGTGGTATAGCGTCCCATCGAGGGTAGTGGTCGTTCTGTTGTACTGATTGTTCCGGAAAATTCCCGGGAGATTGATATCGAACAGTCTCATGTTCAGTTGCTGTAATAGTAGGTGAACACTGTGCTTTGATGGTTTGAAAGGCGGCTTCTAAGGTGGGTAGGAGCGAATATATTTTGAAGGTGCAAAGTAGCTCATTAATCGCTTGAATCTCCAACATTGACCATTTTTTCTGTTCAAAACTATATATCGAATTTAGTAACTCATTTACAGATGCTAGGAAGTTCAAACTTACGATTGAGAATTACCTTCTAAACCTAATATGAGTCCTGCAGGTTTAATAACGCTCCATTTTTCACCACAACGTGCCATTCGCAGTAATCTTGTTTTTTTTTGCGAAAAATCCTCTGGTGATACTTTTTGTGAATCCCATAAACGATGTGCCAAGGCATCAATTGCTTGAGATCGAAGTGGTTGAGCATAATTCGCTGTAGAGGGAATTCGTTTCTTCATCTTGGACTTTCTTAGTAATTCTTGTTTTTCTTTCTTGACAGCCTCGAAGATGATAACTAGAATAACTCTTCTTCGAATTGAATTAACCTTTGCCTCATCCTCAATTTGTTTATATTGTTCAATGCAAAGTTTGAGAAGGCTAATCTGATCTGGTTTATGTTCATATATCAACTGTCCATAAAAGGAAGAAGGTTCAGTAGACCATTTGGATATCATCACCTTGAGATAGGAGATATCTTGCGGATCCCGATCCCATAGCCGAGTGATATCCAAAATTCTGTCTATTTGATGCTTCGATAGCTGTTTATTATCTGTGGAAATTATGGATTCTAATAATTGCTGAGAGGGATTGTGTGAGGAACTCTCAACGCTATTTTCGAGATGCTTATTGGTTGTATAAAGAGAAGTATTTTCAAGGAGAGCGCTACGGAGGGAACGAGCGCGATCTGGAGAACGAGCGAGTTCTTTCAGTAAAAGACCGACTTCCTGAATTTAACAAGAATCAGCTGACAACTCTCAAAGTCAGGGCAATCAACCCACTGTATCACCTGTATCGCAATAAAGATTTCCCAGCTCCTCGAGCTTAGTGGCGATGGCTTCAGACATTCCGTATTTCTGGAGTATATTTGATCAATTTAAAGAATCGATATATTTGAATCCAGTACATACCTCACTACTATAATTAGAACCCATCTTAAAAATAAAAATAAAGGTAAAGAGATCAATGATAACAAATCTCGAACGAGTAAGAATAATTTGTTGGAGATCAAAGGGTATCAAAGTTACTCAGTAACTTTTTGACAGATTTATAGAAAACAAGTGGTTGAGAAAAAGATAATGATATGATCAAGATTTGGACTAATAGATCGTGTACAAAGAATCATATAGAACAATATTAATACATCATCCAATCATTAACATTTTTGAGAAACCATTGGTATAGTTTTAGCAGCTTTTATTGGTTAATCGTATTATCTATTATCTCTATGTAATACAGTGGTATATAGGCTAATTTTGTCTCACCTCTTTGTTTTGCTGTCAACCAAATAAATCCTTGCGAGCGAGGGCGGCAAAACAAAAATTACCCTATGTATATACAAATGATCTGATTTTTTCAGCTCGTGACAAAAAAACGCCCAGGTATAGGTACAAATGCCTGTTTACCAATTCTCGTTTCCTCAACTCAATGTAGAGGATATCTGATTGTAGGTAAAGGGTACCCAACTGTGGATCAAAGCTGACTCGCACCCTGGAGAATGATCGAACTCTGTTTTCAGGATTTGGATTCTTAAATACAAAAGATGGTAAATCAGAGTCTATATTACGAAAACTATCCAATCGCAAATCTTTTCCATAAGGCCCGTCCATCACAACACTACAGAGCGAGCCCCGTCCAATGAGTTTTGAAGTTATGCTATTGCTGGGCTCGATCAAGAAAGAAACCTTGGTAGCTTTCAAGGAATCGTCCTACCATGCAATCACGAATGGGTGCGCTTGGAACTGTCGGCGTACACCCATATCCGAGAGAAACAGATACATATATTGACCTGGGTTGATTTTCATAGGCCGTCTAAGTAGGACTGTCAATCTTATTGCATTGACGGTCCTCGTTTTCGAGCCATCATAGAAATGGAAAATGTCGGCTTGTGGTGTCAAGGAATGACCAACACTCTAAGCAACTTTTGCCAACCAGGATTAAACTTACTTAGTAACTTTAATCCATATCAACCAGGTTGGCAAAACAAATTTGTTTCATTGTCTTAAACGAGTTTTCTCCTCATTCCACTCTTGCTCATGCCAACCAGGATTAAAGTTACTCAGTAAATTTAATCCATGCTAACCAGGTTGGCGAAACAAATTTGTCTCATTGTCTTAAACGAAATTTCTCCTCATTCCACTCTTCCTCATGCCAACCAGGATTAAAGTTACTCTCTTCTAAAAATCATATCTACATTGCAGTTCGTATTATAGTGGCATATTCAGTAACCCTATTATAGTCATTTGTACCGCCAGAAAGTGCAGAACCATATATTTAAATATAAACCACTTCCGATCTTACCGTTGGAATTCTATAGTAGTATACTATGAATATAAATGATCACTAAGATGGAAGAACATTGAAATATGCCTAATGCAGATCTAATCCAAGTAAGAATGCTGAACCTTTTGTGCTATTAGCCTTGATAATGATTTGTGAGTTTCCAATCATGATCAGTTGGCAATAGAGTTGGTTTTATGATCTCAGAAGTAGTTATAATAGAAATCAGTTATTTGAAAAGTATTTATAAGAGAAGACCTTCTTTAATCCTCAAGCTTATTTATCTTTATACACTTCAAGTTTTGTCTTTTAGAAATCCCTCCAATTTCAAGGTTTCTTGTCTATCTATACAATGGTTACCTGTATCAGATTGTTTTTACTCAGATTACTCTCATCACTCCCTATACTTCAAAATGGACCGATTTCCTTACCAATTAGCTTCAGTTCTTTTACAGATTATTTTATACTTGGGGTATAACCCTTGATGAACAACCCATCCCGCATTATCATCGAAAATTTCTCTAAACCAAATTCCTATTGTAGCGAGAAGTTCGCTCTCGAAATCCATGAGAAACAAGGAACAAATGCAGAAGAATTTGATTTTTTTCTTGTTGATTTCTTTGAGCAATATAACGGTTCATCTAATATGGATGTTGTTCTCATATGGGACTTCGACAAGGAATTGGGCCATAAAATTTTCAATGCAGTTAAAAGGCACTCATCCTTTTCTACACTTGTCTATCCACCCACGAATGCGATTCTTTCTATCTGCAATAAGTGTGTTCAATCATCCTGTCAACACCTTCAATACGATTTGAAGTTTCGGTTGAGCTATTGGGAGTTGTTGAGAAGTGTTGAAAAGAAGATCAATAATCAATTCGGAACTTTTGATAAATCGAAATGGAAAACACAGTATCAGGAAAGGAATTGGAGAGAAATGTTGGGATCTTCGGTGTGACAGTTAAAGCCTTTGGGAATTTTCTTGGTGCAGCTGTCCACACAGTATTCCCATTTGCTTAATGTATTGAAATAGAGGTCAGACTATATGTATATGAAAGATTGAATGTGCTGGAAACTAACAGTTAGAATGTTAGCTTTGACAATCCAAACTATTTATCCCAATGTATGTGACGGAATAGATAACTCTCTTCTGTCTATTGGCTTATACTACATATGTAGCATGGAGAGAGCAGATTGTCAGTATCGTGTGTTGATGGTATCAAGATAGAAGCTATGTAACGTAATGGTAGTGATACAGGTGCTGATTTAGGGAAGGTAATGAATTGTAACCATGGATGTAGATAGGTAGTCAGATGAGGGGTTCTCGAGTTGTTGTAGTGTTTCAAGTAGAGCTTGACAATGTTGATTGCTGTAGATGTGAATCGAAGTTTTTGGGAAATATTGTGGTTGACAATATCTGCCACATAGTCTGTCTTAATAGAATTTTCCATGAGCCAAGAGTAGGACAGAGTTTAAAAAGATTTGGATATAAGAATGACTTTGTTATAAAGAGGAGGGTTGCTATTAGATAAGAAAGAGAGATCGGTATTATGGGATAAGATGGAGATGTAAACCTGTGATTTTTGATTCAATGATTTGATAACGGAATGTGAGTAAATTGGAATGTAGGGGTTCGTTGATGAATTCTTTATCTAATAGACTTGATATACAGGCATAGGATGATCAGTGTAGTGCAGTAATAGATATATCTTTACAAGCTTGTGAGTGTTGTTCAAGTTATATCTCGTGTATCCTTGCTATGCTGGAACGGGTGCAGGTATCTACTAGGTAGTCAACACCCTCACTTTCTGAAAACTAGCAACAGTAACCGAAGGTGAAACCACAGATTTGTAAAGGAAGTAAGAGGTATGTTATGGGCGGATGAGAAGAAAGAAACTGGTTGGTTTACCAAGCGAGCCAAGTTATCTACAATGTTAATAGGTAGAAGGTACTTTATGAAGAACCTTTATCCCGGATATGGTTGTGCGCTCCAGTGGATAAGGGTGAGAGAAGCCATGCATCTCCCACAACCCTTGATCCTCCAAACGTTGGGTTTACCCCTGCAATCCACCCAAACACAATATTCCGAAGAAAAATTTCTGGTCGCCAGAAGTTGAAATTCGGTCTGAATTCAAGCTCTACGGAGTCACAACAATACACACAATACATACCACTCTACACGAGACAAAATGGCGTCTCACACAGTACCGCCCGAGGTCGTCGACCTGGAAAACGCGGATTTCATCAATCCACAGGATCCAGAAACATTCTCCAACCTAAGAAATCGCTCTAAAAGAAGGCAGTGTATCTTTACCAATGAGGTATCACCAATCCTTAAACTGGGAAACAAAGCGAACAACAACAATACCAGTCCGGCAATGGAAACCTTCAAGACCAAACTCGCTGAGTATGAATATGCTGAAAGAATTCAGCGAAAGGTTATGACTGGCCTGGTAGAGGCAATTGACAGATATATCAATTTCTTTGCCGCAGGGGACGAACAAACAGCTACCAGGAAACTAAGCACTAGAGTTGTTGAAATCCTTATACTCTTTATCAACAATAGATCTGATTAAGCATCGAACTCATCGTATATACTACCGGTAACAAGAAACGTGGCTTCTTTGAAAATACAAACCATTACCAAAACCTACGCGGGGATCCTCAAGACCCTCAAAACAAGTCAGAACAGAGCGGGCTGAGAGGACCCACCCATATTTCAAGAAGCTCTATCAAAGGCCTTATACAACAACGCGCATGCCAAACAACAGGCGATATGAACTGCCTGGAGTATGGACTACAGGCTACTAATAGCTATTAGTCCTGTAGCCCAGATCAACAAGCCAGTTCCATATGCGCTAAGGAACGTTTTCGTTAAAGCAATCACGGGCCTAACACTGGTAGATGTCCTTACTATATCTGTCACCAAGACAGGATAGGTTATCACACCAAAGAACCCAGCTACCCAAGAACTACTCCTCACACAGGAGAACAAGGAGATCATCCTCAGAATCAGCCGAGGCATGCAAGTGCACCAATCGGTAACTTGGTTCAATTATGCAGTCTCTGGGGTCCCAGTATCGATCTGTACGATAGCAGGACTCCCAGCTGACACGGCGAATCACGTGGAAGTGGAGGTTCAGGTATAGATGGGTCAAACCCTAGTCAGCTGCAAACCCTTACATCACAGGGCCAACCCCTACAACAGCACAATCATGTGGATAATATCCTTCCTAGAACCAATCCGCAGTTTCAGGCTTTTTAATGCTAGCGAACTAGCACAAGAAATCAAGGCAAAACCTACGATAACCCGATACGATATCAGCTGCCAGAGTTGGTGCAACTCAGCAAGATGTACCAGGCTTATCTGCTGTGCAAACTGTGGTGTACGAAAAGATGCATATGAGAGCCTGTAAGGACTCAACTGCACAGCAAAAGCACGATATGTTAACTGCTTTGGACCCTTCGCGGCAGGACACTAGAATTGTCCAGCGATACCTAAGGTAGTGGATGGCAAGGTCACAGTACCTACTAAGCTACAACTTAAGGCTATATGAAAACCGGCTTTGACTATGAAAGTGGTAATGCTCGCTAATTAGAAGTCCAAGGACAACCCCAAGGAAGGGCCTGTCCCGGACACAACCACAACCACACCCACACCTACCCCAGTAGCTAAACGCCAGGAAGGACAGATCACTACCTACAAAAGAATTGGGGATAGTCTAATGACGACATAGATCAGAAGAGGCACGGCAGCGATAAGCCGATCGAATCGGAAACCTTCATTGAAAACAAGACTCAATGAGGAAGCCCTAGCTGGTAGCCAGCAGGACATCGAAATGGGGGAGGACCCCCAACCTGATGCATATAAGTAGATACTCGACGCATCAAGGTGATGTGCGTAGTCACCAGCAGCCTAGAATACAGAACCTAACGGTCTGCTAGACGAACATAGGCAGAATACCAGAGGTCTACGATACCTTACTACAAATAGCATTTGAAGACAAAACAGATGTCCTATGTGTGCAGGAACCCTTTATGTTCCCACTCACAAAAACCAAAACACACCCCGGATGGATCTTATATGCGCTAGTGGACTTATGGACAGGAACATCCCTTGAACAAAGAGAGGCAGAGCGACCCCGAGTATTGATGTACGTCAGAAAAGGCGCAAAACTGCGAACTCAACAAAGATGGCTGATCAAAAGCCGCGATATACTCTGGATAGATGTAAACGGACATCCTATACTAAATATATACTGTGTACCTCGAACAGAGCAGATGCTAATATACGTTACTGGACTACAACCACCCCCAGGATGTTTTATTGGAGGCGACTTCAATACCAGATATGAAATATGGCAACCTGAAGCGGAAAGTATCAATGAAGAACACGAACTAGCAGCTTGGGCGGAACTAACCGAACTGGACTATATTGGAGAACAAGGAGCATCTATCTACTTGGGCGGAAATGTACTCGATCTTACCTTTTCCAACATACCATTCGCGGAAACCAAAATACGACACGATCTATACAGTGGTTCGGACCACTCTACCCTAATAACAACCATCCCAGGCAAAGGATTCAAACCCTTTGACCAGCACAACATCCGTGTCCCAGAAATGGAACTACCGAAACTGGCAGGACTAGTAGCCAATGGAGTGGTATATATGCCCCCAAGTGATTCTCTAGATTCTTCACAGAGAATAGATCTTTTTGCGGAACAACTTACTCAAGTAATCACGAGAGCAATTGAAGCAGCGGGGATCAAGGACAGAGGAAAAGGCAAAGCAGCACCCTGGTGGATACCAGAGTGCAAAAGAGCTTACACTGAACATCTGCGCAGACAAACCATATCAGGACAAGCCTTTACCATAGCAATAAGAGAATTCAAAACGGCAGTCAAAACAGTCAAATGCAACTATTGAAGGTATGTAATAGACAACATCTTCAACGACAAAGATCTATACAAGATAGTAGGCTGGTATAAACTAGTCCCGAACCTTAAGAGTCTCCCAATCATTTCCAATGGAGTAGTAATAGAGAACTCGATAGAAAAAGCCGAAATACTCAGAATAGAGATCTTGGACCGGTTCAGCACAGAAAACGATCTGGAGTACGATCCACTGGGAGATTAGTGGGAAAGAAACAGATTACTACTCTGGAACTTTTATATTACAATGGAAGAAATCAAAGCAAGTGTCATCGGGGTATCCAGCACATCACTAGGGACTAACCGAGTCACGGTTAGGCTCCTCAAAGCCTACCGGGAACACCTCAAGGATTCATTAAAACGACTCTTCCAAAAGTGCCTTGAACATAGCTATTTCCCGAAAACCTGGAAGTTAGCTGAAGTAGCTATGCTGCCCAAAACCGGCAAAAGAGATATAACATCCGCAAGATCATAGAAACCCATAGCTCTACTTTCTTGCGTAGAAAAAGGTCTGAAAAAAATAATTGCCAAACGCATAGACTGAACGGCTCTAAAATACGGTATTATCAGTCTTCAATACGGTGGGGCCCTACCCAAACACTCTGTAATAGACTTAGTAGTATCCTTCATACACAATATAGAAATGGTACTGTCAGCAGGAAAAGAAGTAACCATAGTCACCATGGACATACAAGGGGCATTCGACGCACTGCTCAAAAGGCAACTCCTAATCAGGATGATGGAACAAGGCTGGCCCAAAAACCTTCTTCTTCTAGTTGATTCCTTTCTAACAAAAAGGAAAGTCAGAGTTAGGCTTGAACAAGCCACAACCAAGGAACACCTAGTGGCCTGCGGAACCCCACAAGGCTCCCCCCTCTCCCCAGTCTTCTATATACTGTACCTAGCAGAACTATTGTCAGGAAACACCACCCTCAGATTCGGGTATGCGGACGATATATGCCTATACAGAGTATCCAAAACACTGGAAGAAAACATTAGATTCTTTGCTAAAGACGTCCAAGATGTTATAGAATGGGGAACGAACAACCACATCGCCTTCGCTCCAGAGAAATTGGAAATGATACATATCTCTGCAAGAAATGGCAACACAGCACCAACCATCAGAGTGAACGAAAAACTCATGATTCACCCGATAGTGGCTACAGAAACAAATACCTGTCCAGCATTGAAATAACTGGGAGTGTGGTTCGATCGAAAGATGAACTTTCGAAGACATGTTATAAAACACACAAGTAAAGCCAGGGCAGTGGCAAAGCATATACAAGGCCTAGCTAAGGTTGTGCAAAGTCTCCCAGTACACTCGATGTGTAAGGCAGTGATAACATGTGTATTACCCTTATTTCTATATAAAACAGAGGCCTGATATAGAGGAAGATTCAAAGCTATATGAAAATCCAGGTCCGGGCAAATACAAATGTAGGTTAATGCCTGCCTAAACTGATATGTGATACAAATCGAGAAAGTCCTTACAACAGCAATACAAGGAGTCATATCAGCCTGGAAAACTACACCGGTGATAGTCCTCTACCACGAAGCAGGATTCCCCTCAGCTATGATAGCTTTTGAAAAGGCTAAACTAAGGTTTGCCTTACATCTACAAAATGTAGATAAGACCCACCCGCTTACAAAAAGAATCGAACCCCCCATGATTGTTAAAGGACGAGGGTTGGGCACAAGATAAAAAGCAAAAACCAAGATCCAAAGACTTGGTCTCCTTGTACCCCCAATCCCGAGGTCTACACTCGAGCCACCTAGGTATATACCTGGGTGTAGAGTAGATTTAACAGAAGAAGTTGACAAGAAAACAACAGCAAAAGCCTTCGGAACCTGGTGGGAAAATCTACCAGCCACGGACATTATCATCTTCTCAAATAGATCGGAAAACTATGTACAAGAAAAGCACATAGTAAGCTATGGATATGTTATATACCTAGGCAAGAACCAGATATTAGCAGGCTCAGGCTTCATCAATACCCAATCCCACGTCTTTGACGCGGAAGCAATTAGGGTATGGATAAGCCTTGAACATACTTTCAAAGATGCCAGATACACAAACCAGAAAATCTGGATGTGTATCGATAGCGTCTCAGTTATTTGGTGTATGCGAGCTAATACCTCTATGTCATCACAATAGGCTTTCAACAATTGCCACAAGACTATAGAGGAACACGATATTCAGGTCAAGTGGTCACTGGGACATGAAAACATTGAAGGAAACGAGACAGCGGATCACCTCGCAGACCTTGGAGTCAAGAAAGCCTGATGGGATACTGGACCAGCTTTGCAATCCATTTACAGCGGGGTTCGATCGATAGCATACAATCTCAGAGAAAATACCCACCAACAATAGTGGAACTCCTGTAAGCCTACTTTCTTACTGTAGTACAAACAGTGGGACCTGATGTACAAAATCAAACCATTGCCCGAACTCCTACTTCCGAGAGTAGTTCTACAAAGGCTGATAGCTATCAAAACCTCCCATAGAGACTTCGGATGATATCACAGGAAATTCAAATATACAGGAGATACGGAATGTTTCTGCAGAAGACTCAAAACCCTAGTACATCTGGTTTACTACCGGAAGGCAAGAGGCATTTTTGAACAATAGCTGAACAAGCCCCCTACACCATCAGCAACAAACACGGAAGGCATCCATTATCTACACAAAGTCCTGAACAACCCCAAGGAATTTGCCAAGCTCCTAAAGCTGACAAAATTCTACGAAAACATATGCCCAAGGTAAAGAACCGCAAGCCCACACTCTACAAACAAACAACCTAAACACTGCGACAATACACATCTACTACCAGAACCGACTCGCAATGTACAACACAAACGAAATTACTAACTCTCTCTGTAGAGTGTATACAGAGAAACAACAATATCAACAGGTATAAAAAACCTGATTGAACATTAACAAGACATGCGAAAGCACATCTGAGAACGCTTCCTGGAGTATAATAAACATTCAAATTGTTATACCAAAAAGCAGCCTACCAATCTGCTCAGCGTAAGCAATGGTAAGCCTATAATAAAGGGTATACCCGCCTACATCAGGCAAGATAGTAGGAATACCTCAACCGGTGGAGGAGAGAATATACAAATTGGAAGGTAACATATGATTACCAGGAATAGTCATAAAGGCTTTCACTTTTCTTTTTAAGGCACTCTCATTTCATGTATCGTAAAACCATAGCTTAGAACATCTGCATACCCCTAGGGAGGTTCTGAGGGCAGCCCTAAGCTGCTCTCCTGATGTAAAATAATACTACTACTACTACTACTACCCCTGCAATCCTTGCGATAGGTGATCGCGCTTCGAGAAGCCCCTTCTTTAAGCAATGAACACACAGCCTATCCGTATATATACTGTACTAAATAGATGGCCACTCTAATTTTATAACATGTGAGGAATTTCGTTTTTGCTAATCTCCAGCTTAAATACATCCGTAATGCTATGACTACTCGATTCCCTTATCAGGAACAGATCCCCTCGAGCACTAGAATGGGCTCTGACCATTTAGGACTCTAGCCTTAACAGGTATAAGCTTCCATTGATGTATCCGACTGCTTCTTTGTAGCCCTATAAACAACCTACCTAACCCATAAAAAACACTTCGTTACTTTATCTCTACCTCAATCTTAGCTCCAGGCTTCGGGATTCAGAACCTAGCAGATCATCAACCTGTATACCCTTGATGAACTAGCAATATATATATCTTCCTCTCACATATACATCTTTGTAGTTTGCTACTACTATTTCGGACAAGAATTTGCTGCATTCGTATTATAAGAAGATGAACTTACATTATTCAAGATATTGTTGATACCTTTGCAGACATTTAAAGTCAAAACAGTAAACTCAAAAAGGGAGATTCCCATTTGCTCCACTATCTTCGCTGTTTGTAATATCGGACCTCGACTTACCCTTGCTCACTTTTTATTCCGCATTATACAAACAATCTCCAGCTCAACAGCAATCCTGATTCAATCTTGTTTATTTCAAGGTTTGTTATCATTGTCTGTACCGAGCATTTAGTAGAATCACTCTTTAGTACTTGCTCCTTCATTTTCAGACTTTACAATTAGTTGATATTGTACTTCTTTTTGACAAGCACACAACTTTTGTATATACACCAACTTTTCCCTGAAGATTGTTCCTACAATCGAGTAGCCTTTTTGTCAACTTCTGATCTAGAGTCATTACTTGTAGCCCTGTGATTCGCAAACCCGGATTGAGCTTTACAATCCCATATATTACTACCACCCCAAATACTGAATTCACCTAAAGTTATCCGATATACACAGTTTAACCCAGACATTCAATTACCTTATACAAACTGGAAAAATATAGGTGAAAACTATGAGGATAGTTCTGATTCTATATAAATATTCAACTGGTCCATTTGCTAGCATCTGCTTATTTGCACCTCGCTATTATCACTTCAAAGATGCTTTTTTTCCATACATATTTTTGCTTCCCTTTTTTGACTTCTGTGAATGCCTCTATCCCGACATATTACTCACGATTAAACAGCCAATCCATCACAGTACAAATATTTCTATAACTATTCATCACCAACACCACCAGCTAGCTCTTGTTTCCCCCCAGCAATGCCAACTACTAGCTTTTCAATTTCCTTTATACCAGCAATATCGCAGTCTCTTCCTCCTTTAGTACTTACAAAATCAGCAAATATATCGACTTCCCATCGTGGATTACCTCCTATGACATTACTACAACCACCACAACAAGTAGTCCCAGCATCATTGAATCAGCCAACGAGTTCATTACAATTACCAGCTTTACCTCAGCAATGGCAAGGTGCAGAAGAGTCGATGAGGAATTGGCTCCAAGCAAAGGCTGAAGAGGACAAACGAAAGCAGGAGGAGAAGACAAGACAAGAAGCACTTAGGTTGAAGCAAAGGAAGATCGAGCAAGATATACTAAGAACTTCTTTGGCGAGAGGAATCCCTCTATATATGATTCCTATGATTTTTGCTGGAATGGGTGGCGGCAACTTATCAAACGCTAGCTTAGAATGGGCTCAACACTACATGGCGCAAGCACATCAACTGCAACAACAACAACAATAACAACAACAACAACAACAACAACAACAACAACAACAACAACAACAGCAAGTTGAAACAATATGCCTTGGGAATGAATGAATCAATCAGGGTGTATAACCGGAAGATCCGAGAAGAATCGAGTGCCGCATTCTACACCGTCTCCAAATTGGCGAACAAATGAAAAGAATCAAGATCTCGATATACTATCCACTTCAGGAGGAGGGAGAACTTCAGCGGATTCAATCAATGAAGCAAGTATAGCCATATGGTGTCTTGCTGTATTCTCTTCAGTTAATAATTAGAAGATGATTTAAAAGCAACTCACCATATGCTTCCAGATCATTTGGCAGCGGAGCTCCAAATGCCTCCAAGCTGTCTTGACGTGGAGCATCCCTGAAGATCTCGACTGTATGCAAAATAGGCTTCAATTCTTCCTGCATTAACCTTTCCTTTTCGATTTCTGAAATATCCCTTGTACCAGGTTTCAATTTGCTATCATCGCGGTTGAGTGTCGTCGCCCACACCCATTGATAATCCACCTTATTCGCTTTCTTGCAATAGATATATGCCTTGATCCAGTGTGGGATGACTTCTTATTGGATTGTAACACCAGTATATAAGTGGACAAAGTTTTTCTTGCCGATTGAGGTGAAGAATCTGGAAAGCAATAACAACCAGTTCTCAAGGAGACAATCGTGAATTTGTATATTATCGGGTTGGATGATCTGGATCGTGCACCATATCCACAAGTGTATAGGATGTAAGTAAATGATCGGCAGTTCTCTGAAACGCCTCTAATTTCTGCCATCGTTTTGCTTAGAACGTTGTGCCTCTTCTCCCTCTGTAGCCCTTTCCTCATGTACAATCTCCAACACTGCAGAATAGTGACGTTCTCGATCTCGTTGAAACTGGCTTTGCTGATTTTGAATTTGAGAATGCGCTCGTGGTCGGGAATCACTATGTTCGAGTAAGGACGAGACAGTGTTCGAACCTCCTGAGTGTCTGCGTGTTTGTACAGGCGCTGATCCTTGCTCTTGGATTTGTGAGTGAGCTGGTGAAGGTAGGCTTTTATTGCCAAGCTGGAGAGTCAGCTCATCATACTAATCTGATAAGATTCTTGGGTGGTGACGTGAGTGAACAAGGTAATGAGAGGAATGAGATCGCCATTAGTGAATAGATCTCATCAAAGCAGTTTATATAATGCTCAAAACACAATTGGCTACCAGCATATCATATGATTCCATTAACAATGATGCTATAAGTATAGTCGATGCTCCAGACTTCTATTTAATTCTTGCTTCTAACAGAAGCAGTTCCTTCCAAAACCTCTGGAATTAATTCCTCAAGAAAAGTGTCACCTCCCTATGTGGTCCTCTTTAACCACTGTATCCACTGCCTAGAAAAACCCTCCCTCCTCTCTTACAATACTGGTGTCCATTCCATAGAATGTGTACCAGGATTTCAGTGCTTTGGCTTCTTGTATTTCTACCCTCCTCATCCCTCTATACATTCGTATTAGCACCTCATGTATAATGTTGAGGTTGGGACCGAGCTGGAGAGTAATCAAAAGTTGTTTATATGCTTCGAGAGTTGTTTCAAGGAATCCTCTAGAGATATTGTGACAGCATCGAAAATACTGGACTTCGAGGTGCAATTGGCCGTTTTCTCTCGTCAATTCTTCAACTCTAAGGTTCAGGCCTAAAACTGGATAGTGTTTGGAAGCTTCCAGTCTTCGAGTGCTAAGTTCAGTTACTGTCGTGACGCCATTCTCTTAAAGGATAGCATGATCCATTGAAGTAATATCAGGAGGGAGAGCCGAGGCCCGGAAGTTGCGGGTTGTAGGCATTGGTCTCATTGCCATTGGTTCTGAGACAGACCTCAGTGTTGTAATTGTTTATATTGGTGATATTTGAGCTTTTTGTCGTGGTCTCCTGTTGTTTAACTTTCAATGAAGGAAACACTATTAATATATATGGTATCCAACCACAATGAATTAGGAAGTTAGTTAACCGAACAGTGTGAAGCCAAATACAAGTGATGATGGCTGAGTGGGGCACTCTATCTTGAGTACCACTGTCATCAGAGTCATGACTGAACAAGATAAGCGACATTGGACATCGCCATCATGACTGAGTGGGGCAACCAAACTGAGGGGGGGGCACAGGATAGCCACTATTGAATGTAACCGACCTCATACTCATAACTAAGTAGGGTGATTATTGTCGGGGTACCGCCATCATGGTTATGACTGAGTGGGGCAGTGTTGGTGACCAACGTCGAGTTTCTCGTATGTGGAGTATTTATGCAACTTAACTACCTAGAGTATGAGGGACAAGCATAAATCAAATGTTAGACAGGGTGTGCTGGGTCCTAGAAAATGACCGTGCGTCTGAACTCAACGTGGGGATTTACAGACCCCAACATCATCTGGTACCAGGGGGTCAATATCAATTTTTTTCGATCAATCAGAACACAAATACTGGGTTTTTACAATATTTCGTATAAACTTTGGAATATATAAGGTTCAGTAGCTTATTCTTATTGCTACAGTAGAGTAGAGATAGCAAGCTCCCCTCTCACGGCCGCTACCCTTTCGGGACCTGACCTTCTAATAAAGTGCCTCTAAGATGTGATCAACTGCAACCTCCCTAACATTGCCCAAAATCGCTCCCGCTTCTCCGGTCATCTCGAAAATAGCATGTTATTGATCAAGGGTATACAACCTAAAGAGAATAGGTTTGGCGGAGATTTCTATCAATAGACAAGTTGGCTTCTGGTTTAACGTTTCAAGGAGGGGAAGAGAGGCGGGGGATGAATTATACCTTACTCTTAGGGAATGACGATAGAACAGTAATACACTCGAAGATCTGCTAAGGGAGGTTAGCTTTCGAAAATGATAATCCATACTTCTCCTCTGAAGCTCATCTCTTCAACTATACCATTTATCACAACTTGATAACGTCATGCTCTTTATCGAAATGTTTGTATAACAAACAGAAATCTTTTCCTATACCCTTCTAAGCACAGATCATTTACTGGATCCTTCCAACAGAATCAAGATTAGAATGATTTGAGTTATCAGATGCTCTATTTCATTCAATTTAAGATAATATATAATAAGTTTTCAGGCCTGATAGGTATTAATTATAATATTTCGTTTCCGACTACTCCCGAACGCTCCCTGTTTCTTTAAGATTGATGCAAGGTTTCAAAGATTAATGTATGCATGCAAACTACTCGGGTGTAATAAGTGCCCAATGTGTATACTTATTTTTATCAAAAATTGAATTTATATATCACAAGATTCATATCACATGACTAATTCTTGTTTAAGAATAATTTCAATATCGCTTGTGTCTAATAGAGTGATAATGAATTTATAAATCCCTCAAATACAAAAGTTAAAGAAGCGACTGAAGATTACAACCGCATAATCAAAATCGCGAATTGTTCGAATATAAATATACAAAAAGTAACCAAACAATAATATCTCACTATAAAAACTCCAAGTACAAAGTTTAAAAGAGTAATAATAATTCTTCCTACTCCCTCTACCGTTTCAAATCTGATTAATCGGACCACAGAGTTGTCCGACATCTCAATGGTTAAGTTCTGCCAAAGCATCTTGAAGTCGTTCAAGTTCTTTAGTAATGCCAAAGATTTTTGCTTCGCAAATGAAATGAAAAGAATGCCTTTTAAGCTTTTATTCCTGATTATAATCTTCTATAGACAATTTAGAGTTCAGTGATATCAAATATATTAGTCTCGCCTTTATCTCAATACAAATGTCCATAACATAATTATACCAGTCATAATAATTTTCGAAGTCTGACACTTATTTATCCATGACAGAGCCAGCGAAACCGATAGTCGAAATATATGTAAGATCTTCACTGAAGCTAAAGGATCTAGCAGAAGTATTTTGAAGAATAGTGATATCAGAAGCAATAAAAGAAGCAGTGACATCCTGCTGGACATTCGAATTATAATTATCTTCAAACAATTGGCATCGAATTACATATCGTTCCATAATTGAATGATATTTCTGAATAATGCGAATATAGTTATTGGACCAATCACGATACTCCTTAATAAGTTTGTTACAGTTACCTAGTACAGGATTGTTTTGTTAAAGGGTAGTTCTGAGATTGATAATATAATTGATTTTCTTGTTCCACTTATAGCAACTGTTCATGTATTCCAATATACATAAATAAATAGAAATAGTTGCAACAGACTCAGTTGTTTTACTTTATATAAGATCTTTACCAAAACTAGAAGATCTCGCACTTGTATCTTGCGGAATACTGGCATCAGATATAGTGGAATCAGACTGGGTGGGTGTCTTGGACTTGGAGTCCTCATCGGAATCAGGAATCTGAATCCATTCAATAATTAGATAAAGGTTACTCCTTTGAGACCCATCGGAGCTAGAGGGTCCAGCAGCGGACTTTGGTCGCCAGGCATTCTCATGACCTTTTCCAGTGTTGATATTGGTTTCAATGTGAAGGGCCTTGGAATCACTGGCCACGGCTGATTACTGCTAACTGACAGTTAACATTTCTATTCTCTTTAAATTCCTTGTTAAGACTTGACCAACCTTTGTGAGCTTACTAGTAATTAGAATGGTAAATATGGTTGAAGGGATTGAAATCGGTTTCTTGTTTTGTTATTAGATAACCGATTTGTGTAATTGAAATTGATTTACTATAATATTCATATATTATAGAATTTGATACTGGATTTATAGTCTTTCATATATATATAGGATGGTTGATAGTGAATGCTTTGATCTATTTTTATCTTTCATTCAGTGAGTGATGGTGAGATTGTTGTTGCTATTATATGGATACTGGTGATAACCCCATTTGTTATTATATATATATCAGTTACACGATCTTAATATAGTATCGATCTTGTTTAGAGGCATTAATTATGGTATTCAAATTGCTGTACTAATTGTATATATAGGGTTGAGGTTATATACATCTGGGAATATGATAACGAAGATATACCAGTGA